CCCGCTCCGTTTCCGCGGCGATAGCGACTCTCATATAATTAATATACTCGAAGAATGTCAAACCTTGTATTGTACTAAACCCGAGGGCACAAGCAAATTGCATTAAATGCATATATTTTTCGATCTCTGCAGCACCTCCACCGGCAATTCGTGACGATACAACCCATTCTGAGATGGACAAAAACGAGATACTCGATCGCGAGCATCGAAGCCGTACGCCAAACGTAGCAAGCCCGGTGGTACTCTCAACAGGTTTTGAAAGGTTTCTATACATTTGGTCAGTGTTCGAGAATTCGTTGTAGTTCGCCAAAGTATGGCGAATCATGAGCATAATTTCCCTGCCAACCACGTTGTTCCATGGCACTCCTGAAGACTCGTCAACTTTGCCGTATCTTCCGATGTACACCAGCCGTATCCTGAGACGGAACTTCAACAAAAATGGATGTGGACCTCAAAACTTGTATTAATTATGAGGGCTGTTGAGGATGTCGTCTGTTTTCGCTGCTCGTCACTTGTGGCTGACAGCCAAGCTACAAATCGTGCGTTTAGCCGTGCGATCGCTGCTAAATAATGCGGTCGCCCCAACGTCATGTGCCATCTTGTGCCGTTGTAAAACGAGCAACTATCGTCAATTTTCTACAAACAATTTGACACTGAGGACATCAGTGGAGGTGGAAAAAAGCGTCTTTCCGTTCAAGCCTATTTTCCAGGTTTTCGCCCTGTACAACGTGTAGAGTTGCGATATCCTTGCAACATACCAGCACACACTACTGTAGGTATCTGACTATCCGAATACCAGCGATGTTGTAGCGTAAAGCGACTGCAATGCATATGTGCCGGGAGTGAATCCATGGTCTTAGTTGAATCAATTGATATGGCAGGTGTGCCGGATCTGATAGGGCAGAAAAGCTAATAGTTTAGGATTCGTGAGAGATACAGCAGCGTTGTACATTGTAAGGCAACAGCCTATTGAAAGGGTTAACAGCAGTGCTGTATCTTTCACGAATCCTAAACTATAAAAAGGGGTTGGCCCTTTAACATTGAATTTGTCTACGGCTATTTTAGCTCGAATTTTTAACAGGTTGATCGATGGTTACAATCTCAAACGAAGAATCGAGGCAGCCATCCCAAGCTATAGTATTGCACTTTGTGATCGTGACCGATGAAGTTCATCTAGAGGTGTTCACCCGATGAGCACCTCTGGTAAACTAACTGTTTCGCACTGAATAACATCTCCAACTTTCAAAGTAGTAGAAGGCATTCCTAGGTATGGAGCGTTTTTCTTCGATACAAACTTTTGCGCTGGAAGTATTTTCTTGTTTATTAAATGACATCCATACTATTCATTACACGCTACGAAATGCAAATACAACTAGAAGGGAGCCAAACCTATACACTCATCGCGTCTACCAGTGCAATCGCTTCAACAATTTCTCTCCTCTTACTCCAGCTTGCCAACACCGAAGTTGCCAGTGGTCTGCTGCCACTCCTTCTCCAGGTCGCTTGTTTGCACAGCCAGCTTTCTCGATTGGGACTCCTGCTGCACCGA